CAGGTCAAAAGAGCTGAGCCTGAAGCAATTGCTTGTGCTGAATCTGAGCCCTTTTTGCCGTTGCATCTTGTTCATCATAATTCTGAGGAACCCTAATCCATTCTGCAGCCAGTCTCCGTATTGCCTACTTAGCAGCCCTTACAAACAAGCAGAGATGAGTACAAGAAGCAATTGCCATCCAGCGCTTTAAGCAGGGAGCTGGAAAGGCTTTTAGAATCTCAGCTGGCACTAGTCACATAACCTCCTCTGTGCGCCAATTTCCCTATTTGTTAAATGGGACTTGTGGTGGTGATGGGTTGTGTGGTGTGACACTTAATTTGTCTGTAGTGGACTTTGAAAGTCTGATGAGCTGTATAAATATAGCTTTCACCCCCTCTTGCGAAAGAGTAGCTTCCAGTTTAGAAAGGAGCGCTCTCCCTCTTTTCTTGCTTATGCAAGTCCCCTCTTGTATTTCTTCTGAAAGGTGAATATTATAGCAGTGGAAGTCAACCGGTTGTCTTTTTCTTTCCAGAATAGGTAAAACACGGGTAATGGCAGCTTCCTCAGCCCTAACAGGAAAGGACATCAGGGGTGGGCTGTCATTCAGCTGGAATTCTTTACCAGATAAGGATTACCATAAAGGATATGGATACTAAGTTTGAGATGAAGGATGTTTGTGTGAATCAAAGAGCGGGGTGGAGATGCACTGCAGCAGAATGCAGCAATTTGCCCACATTTTAGCTCAACAGCTCTCAGAGCTTGAAATAGTCTCAGGCTTCACAAAGCAAGTAAAAAAATAAAAAGCAAATACTGTCGCAAAGTGCTTTTGGCCTGCAGCAGAAAGAATGCAGGTGTTCTCCAGCTTGAAGAAATAGTCATTCCCTAGGGAAGATATCCATTACAGCAATGGATACAGACACTCTACTAGTTCAGTAAAATCACACTGTAGAGCATTGTTTGAAAAAAAGGGTGTTTTACACTTTTCATTAGTTTTACTTGTAGCAGGCTAAACCTGTCATTTAAGCTTTGAAACGTGAGTTGGGTGAGGGAGGGAGGAAAAAAAGCTGTAAGCTTGCAAAGGATTTTATACTGCAATCTAGTATTATTAAGTCTGCCTTTGATGGGCTTTGCCACCATTCTTACTAATACTAAAGCGATCACCTACCAACGTTTGCCATAGTGGCTTGGAAATTGTAGCTGTTTCAGTACACTAGTTTTAGGCTTTGATGCCACTGAAATATTACTCCTGAGGGAATTCTGCTCTGAAACCATTACAATTCTGCACCCAATATTTTAAAATTCTGCAAATTTTATTTGTCAGTAAATAAATGGGGCTCCAGCACAGCAGTGGGGAGCATAGGCCATTGGCTGCACTGAGGTGGGAGATCACCCTGAAGTCCCCACTTCCCCCAGTACGGGGATTCGGCAGTGAGGCTGCACCTGACCCTAACACAGTGCAAGGGCCGGGCCGGGCCTGCCCAGAAAACACCCTGGGGCCCTGCCCCTCTGCACCAGGTGTGGGTGGGCAGGTAAAGTCCAGCAGGATCCAAGCGGAGAGAGGCTTAGTGTGGGGGGATCCAGGTGTGGGGTGAGAGGTTTCTGAGTGTGGGCAGCTCAGTGGGAGATGGGGATGCACAGGGGCTCATTGGGGGGTGCAGGGGCAATGGGACTGCAGAGGATCCAGGTGAAGGTGGTTGGGGCTCAGCGGGGGGGGGTCTGGGTAGGGGAAGATGGGGCTCGACAGGGGTGGTCTGGTTGTGATGGACTCATTGGAGGGGTCTGGGCGCTGGGGCAGGGGTCCAGGTGGAGCTGGGTGTGGGTGGGGTAGGGCTTGTCGGGGTGAGGGGTCGATGGGCTTGCTTAACAGGGGTGCCCCAGCTGCTGCTGCATGCCAGGCTGCCACTTCCCCACCCCTCCCTTCCACATTCTCCTCCCCTGCCCTATTCCACCCCCCCCATTCCTTCCCCACTGCTTCTTCGCCTCCCCCCTTCCCTTACCCAGCCCCACTGTAGGCATTCACTGTTGAACAGAAACAGGAAGACACCCAGCACCCAGAAAGAGAGCGCAATTGGCACTAGAAAAAGACAGCATTCAGCTGCAGTCAGCAGAGCTGAGAAGTAGCCTCCTTCAGCTGGACAACTCTGTGCTTGCAGAAATGGGGCAGGGGGAGCAGCACATAACCCCATGTGCCCCCCATACCTTGCCTTTGGGGAATTCTGCACCCAAAACTGCACCTATGCTCACCCCTCCGCCTTGCCCTCTGCACAGCTTTGCTGCAGGGACTTGAAGTAATCGGGGGGGGGGGGAGACATTTTCTGCGGGTACGCAGAATTCCCCCAGGAGTAAAATATAACTCAAACCCAAAGTCAAACTAAAAACAAGGTAACTCATTTTTCATTAGCATAGGATGAGCCAACAAGGTGATTTAGCACTGAAGGGCTGTTTCCCTTATCTTCAGGTTTTTCTACGTGCTTGGCAAACATCTAAGATGGGGCTGATCCATTCCAGACAAAGCAGTATGAGCTTCTTCACTTCAGTTAGGGTTAGACTATGCAAAATATAGCTATTAAGGTATTAAATGCCGCCCATGTTCCTACATCTCTGTTAATGAAATGGTAAGCAATCTACAAGTTTCACTTAAGATTCCTTTCAGTGCCTATCAATGGGGTATGAGAGAGGCAAAGCCAGCCCTTTCCATATCCACCGTCTTGTTGCTTGAAGATCCAGCCGTCTGGGCCCAGTGATAGTTATCACAAAGGCAATGTGCATTCAGAGAAAATAATTTCACTGTCTCCCTGCCGGAGACACTCCATGCACATTCTCAGCAGCTGCCTGAGGAACAACGTAGCAGTAGGTTGCTTTTCATCCTAGCTCTAAGCAAAGGGTAATTAAGCCACAGGGGAAAAAACAGTTGGAACTAGCTGAAGTTCTTTAGCTGTTTGGCCTGAGAAAGGTGAAGCCCTTTGAGCATAGCTAGCAGAGCCTGTATTGACACTGCCCCTAAAAGAAAAGAGATGTTCTCATTACTTTTTAGAGACAAGCTGGAAAAGGAAAAACCTTGGGTATAAATATAGCTCTACAACAGCTATTACAGACAGGAAACTATCTCAATATACCCTAGTGTAAACATATCTCAGGTATAAATGTAAGATTTATCTTACATTTACACTGGGACCATCCCTGAACTGAGAAGCAGTTGTGTTCTGTGTTGGTAACGCTACTACCTCATTAGTCCCAGTGGCCAATGAATTAGACAGCTCATACAAGAGCCAGCTGAATAAAACCATTATTGTGTAATCATTTTCACAATAGGGCAACAGTTCCCAAACTTTTGAGGGTCACATCCCCTTACAGCTGTCCATGCCCCCCTGGAGCCAAGAGTGGGGCCACAGCTTGGGGGAGAGGGGAAACGCTGACAGGAGTAAGGGGGCCAGGGCCAGACTGAGGCTGGGGGCAGAGCTGCAGCTGGGCCCGCAGCCAGGTGCTGCTCCATTCCCGGCCTTGCCCCCAGCTGGGAATGAAACCACAGCCGGCAGCTGTGAGTGTCGCAGGACTGGGAGGGGAGCCATGCTGGAGATGGGGCCAAGGATGCAGCTGGGGGTGGGACCAGAGCAGAGCTAGGTGATGTGCCCTCCCTACCCCTATGGGGCTGGCTGGGGCCCTGCCACACCCCCCTGGATGGTCCTCCACACCTCCCTAGGGGGTTGCGCCCCACACTTTGAGGACCTCTGCAATAGGGTCAAATTCCACCTTTAATTATGGCTCACTGACTGAGTTACAGATTTAGGACTACATACTGTCCTTGAGCCACACCAGATCTCTTATGGCTGTCAGCAGCACGTTTGCAAATAGAGCAAAGGTAGAAGGTGCTTCTTTGTAATATTTAAACTTTGAGTATGTTGTATGGTTGGATTCAGTGTAACTTAGTTGTAAAACTGAGTATTTTCCACTACTTATAAGGGCTTGGCTACACTTGCAAGTTAGAGCACCTTAAAGCAGCCCTGGGCACCCTAACTCCTGAGGTGTCCACACTGGCAAGGCACACAGAGCGCCTGGACCCTGCAGCTGGAGCGCTCTTGGTAATCCACCTCCACGAGAAGCATAAAGCTTGCTGCACCCCGGCTGAAACGCCCGGGCATCAGTGTGGACGAGGTGTTGCAAATCTACAATTACTGCGCAGTGACTGGCCTCCGGAAACATCCCATAGTCCCCTGAAGTCAAGTGGCCACTCTTGTCATTGTTTTGAACTCGGCTGCAGGCATGCGGATATCCCCTTTCAAAGCTTCGTTTCTGACAGTTGGCATCCTTTTCTGCTCTGGGCCAAAGCAAACCATTACTGTGGAATGCTGCTGTTGTGAATGTGTGTGTGTGTGTGAGGGCCCTCCCCCCCCAAAACACACTATCTCCCCCCACATACACACAACACACTCCCTGTCACACTCCACCTCCACTCCCCCATTTGAAAAGCATGCTGCAGCCACTTGCACACTGGGATAGCTACCACAATACACTGCTCTTGGTGGCCACGCCAATGCACTTGCCGGTGACAGTGTAAACACATAGCAGCGTTTTCCCTGCTGCGGTCTCCAAAGGCTGGTTTAACTCCCAGTGCTGTACATCTGCAAGTGTAACCAAGCCCTGACTTTGGTTCTTTTCATGCTCCTCCTTTAGAAAATAAAGGAGACACATAGAAGGCTTCCACTCCCATTAAAATCAACAGTGAAACTGTCTCTTTATTATGCAATTAAAGTTGCATACAAAACATAGATAAACAAAGGGTGTGATGGAGCTCACTTTTAAGATATTGTTTCAAGTTGTCTGCATGAAGACAACACCGGATCAGTTACACTGAGTGTATCTGGAATGTCTTTAATGGCCATAAAGGCCAGACACTCTTAAAATAAAAACTTGAGATTCTGCAGAATTTAAAATCTGTCAGGGAACCTCAGCTATAACGAGTGAGAGAGACAAGGCCAACAAGCTGATCTAAAGCAGTCAAAGACAAGAATTCCACACAACACTGCAGGATAGGAACTAAGATTTATTGAACAAGCTTTTACAGCCTGCTATAATAAATATCCTTTTGTGTGTATGTGAACAAGTTTAGAAACAACGAAGGGTCACTGACATTAATGCAGTGAGATCTCTATATTAACTGTATTACTCATCATTTTCAAAGTCAGCAGAGTTCTTCCTTTTCAGTCGCTCAAATTCTTGGTTCCCCCAGGTGTAAACAACATAGGCCACCACAAAAGCTTAAAAACAAAAACAAACAAACAAAGCAGTGACTATCTACCAGTTACATGACAGTAGTTACAATGTGAAAATTTCTTGCATTATGCTGTACTGATTACAGTCCTGGGATAGAGACTGGAAGTGTTACTGTGTAGAGATCACCATGTTTTAAGGTGATTCTGTTGGATGTTTAAAGCTCTCTCCAACATAGATAGGAGTTAAGCACCTAAAAATCATCCTGATGAGTATTCGCACTCTGCCATCATCCTATTATGTATGCCTAGATTTGCAGATAATCATGTGTGTACTATGAATGGCTCTATGGTGCATGAAGAGTTTCTCACGAAATCTCTCAGCCCATTCCTCTGGACTTAAATCCACCCATGACAGCTGCTGGCCCCATAGCTAGAACATTTTCTCTTTCATCTCCCTTTCTGCAGCATACCTGCTTCACAAATTCTCTCATGCATTTGTAGTTTTGATGATAGTTTTATTCCCTGAATTTGTTTAAGATCTTTTTATAAAAGTTTTAACATGAAATTCCATTCTTGTGGGCAGGGGAAAGTTATTTTATAAGCTTTTTAAAAATATCAACGATCTGAAATATAGATGAAGAAATGACACCAATCAGCATCTTTAATTTAATTCTGGTGTTAGTGAATGCAGTGCATACGGTACACGAGGCAGTTCAGAAGGCACTAGTTTAAATAATTCACTCAAATAAAGGAATTAGGACTTACGAGGAGCTACCCTGAAGACTCTTGCACGAAATCGCCTCCATACATTCGGAATTCCTTTGGTGAAGTAGTTAGGGAATGCCCTCTGCTCGAATGGAGACAAGCTGTAAGTGATCACATGCCTCACTCTTTCCAAGTTTCCAAAATGGCCACCCATTTTTAATTGCTTGTACTGCAAAAGCAAAGTGCTAGTTACTATGGAGATAGACTCTTTGCCACTTTTATGGAGACAGAGTGATTTTAAACACAATATTCCTCAGGGTGGATCCAAATCGATGATCTGTATGATTAAAAAATTGGATTTCTAACATTTAAATAGTTTTTCTTTTTAAAAATAAACCCATTTAAAACAAAACCTGAATTTAATACAAAATATGTTAAGGCCCAAGCTTATTATAATCTCTTAAAACATTTAAATAGAAAATATGCTGCACTCAGGAGCCTCCATCAAAAACGTTGAGTTACAGGATGCTTTTCTATATGAAGAATCAGTGAAATCCTACGTTTTGGGATCACACTTTATAAATACAGCACAATGGGTCACGTACTGTATTAAAGCCTTGATCCTGTGGGGGACTTAGAGGCTGTATTGCTGAGTGCAAGACACTGGCAAAGTCATCACAAGCCTTTGGACCCGGCTTGTGACCCCAGGAGACACCATCAGGTATCTCATCACTGGGTAGCAAATGTAAGGTAAAGGCTCTCACTCAGCTGACAAGGTTTGAATGGGTTATTTAGAAACTCAGGGTTGGGAGGGACCTCAGGAGATCGTCTAGTCCAACCCCCTGCTCAAAGCAGGACCAATCCCCAATTTTTGCCCCAGATCCCTAAACGGCCCCGTCAAGGCTTGAACTCACAACTCTGGGTTTAGCCGGTCAATGCGCCAGCCACTGAGCTCTCCCTCCCCCCATCCAGGGACGCGAATGCGCCCCTCTCTACAAACTGTCCCGAGGCACACACGGAAACGCTGGTTAAAACCAGGGGCTTAACTCGAGGCTTTCCATGGGGTGATTTCAATCAAGCCGCCCGGCTGGGGTTGGGACCCGCTTAGAGGAGGGACGCGCAGAGCGGAAGATACGCGGGGTTACTTCGCCTTCCGCCTCAGAAGCCCCCCGGGGTTACAACAAGGTCCGGCTGGGTGGGGACGGGCCCGAACCGTGCGTCGGGAGTCACTCTCCGGGCGCAGCCACAGCACGAGCGGGAGACTCGCCGCCACCGCTCCCCTCAGCCCCAGGGCGACAGCGGCCGGGCCGCGGTGCTACACGGCCTCCAGGCCCCGGGAGCCGCGCTGCGGTCACCAGCAGCGGAGGAATGGACCCGGACCCGGACCCGGCCGCTCCCCTCTCACCCAGGCCCGCTCGCCGCCGCTCGCTCGGACGCCCGGAGGTCACGTCTCTGCGGGCTCGCGGCCGTGCCAGCGCCTCCCTTCCGCTTCCGGGGCGCCACCCGGGGTCACCGCCCGGCCTGGCCCCGCCTCCCGAGCGAGGGGCGGAGAGGACGGGCAGACGGCCGCGCCCCCTGCAGGCTGGGAGGGCGAGGGAGGCCGGGAGCCCTACCCCAGTACCCCCTGCGGTTCCTCCGTTCCCCCCAGGGGTCTCCAGGGTCCCTCTGCCCCCCCACTACTCCCGTGGGGTCGCCATGGTCTCTGCCCCCCCACTACCACACAGGGTCTCCAGGGTCCCTCTGCCCCCCCACTACTCCCGTGGGGTCGCCATGGTCTCTGCCCCCCACTACCCCACAGGGTCTCCAGGGTCCCTCTGCCCCCCCACTACTCCCGTGGGGTCGCCATGGTCTCTGCCCCCCCACTACCCCACAGGGTCTCCAGGGTCCCTCTGCCCCCCACTACTCCCGTGGGGTCGCCATGGTCTCTGCCCCCCACTACCCCACAGGGTCTCCAGGGTCCCTCTGCCCCCCCACTACTCCCGTGGGGTCGCCATGGTCTCTGCCCCCCCACTACCACACAGGGTCTCCAGGGTCCCTCTGCCCCCCCCCACTTCCCTCGCGGAGTCTCTAGGGTCCCTCTGCCCCTCTATTAGCTTCACGGGCTCACCCTAGTCTCATCCCCCCACTACCTCACAGGGTCTCTAGGGTCCTTCTATCTCCCTCCACTATCCCTGTGGCATCTCCAGGGTCCCTCTGGCCCCCCATCACTGCCCTCCCCCCTTGGGAACTACTCCACACACCATCTCTATGGTACTAGTCCCCTCCCCCAGGAATAACCCCTCCTGAGGTTACTCTGACACCAAGGTCTAACTCCCCAAATCTCATAGTGGATTAATTATTTTTGCTATTTGTAGAGAGCAGCCAGGGATGTGTGTGGCATGACCATGCTGGGGGCTTTAACATCACTCTGAGGTCAAGGTACTAGGCCTCTCTCCTGCTCCAGATAGGTCATACTGATCCATGCATAGGGGGTACAGGAGTAGCAGCTGCTGCTACGGCCAATAGGTTAATTAACCTGATAGCCCCAGACCCTGAGTTTGCATTTGAGACAGGTCTTGTTTCTTCAGCCCAGTTTTGCTTGTTTTGTGGGAGTTTCCTGAATTTCTCCCTTAATTAGAGTGTGTGGTTTCTTTCATCTTCAGCATCTTCCAAGCGCTTCCCTCCTCCCTCAAAGGCCCTGCATCATCTTCACTAAGAAGCCTGTCAACACCACATGATTCATCCAGAAAGATTGTTGCTGGCCCAGGCAATGAGAATGCGAGAACCAATCTGATGAGCAGGGCAGTGAAAATAAGCAAGCTTAATTCTTATACCTGGCTCTCATACATGACAGCATATTGTACTGCTACTGAAGGGTCATGCTGGCCAGAGATTAGAAATTTACAGTCAAAACTCATACCAGTTTGAAATCATGTGCAAAGTACTTTGATGATCGACTGTAGTCCTGAGGTGTTAGTAAATAGAATCCATTGATATATTGGCATACAATTTTTCTAGTGGTTAAAATTTAGGTTAGGGCTGAATAATGTTATAGTTAGTTTTTGTTTTATATAAAGTAAGTTTTCATTCCAGTTAGTAAAATCTCAGGTTGCTTAGCTTTCCTGCCTCAAGCTGTAACCTTAACAGTTGCAAGGATGAGGCTGGACTTCTTCCTCCTAGCAGCTACACCATTGCACAATTAGGATTTGCTATCATCTTTTATTTGCTGAACTCAGCCCAATAACTTCACAAAAGTAAGAGTCTATAGCATCAGTGTCTTTGCTAATTGTATTATGAAGGTTTGTTTAAGTCTTCTGATAAGCATCAGATTGTCCACCATGGCAAGCAGGATAGCCATGGCCTCATCACATGTCAAGCTTTATGTAAACACTGTAGTTTATCACTAGGATTTTGCAAGACTGGTTTTTATATTGGGTGTTATTTGTAATGAAGAGGTAAAGTAAGGATCTTTACCTCACTATATAGAGTCAGATTCTTCTCTGAACTTGATTAAATCACTTCATCTGTTTGTGCCTATTTCCCCATTTACAGAATGTGGATTAGTATTACTGTAGCACCAGGACAGCATTGTCATAGGCACTATCAAATCACATAAAGACATTTCTGCCCCAAAAAGTTTAAAATTTAAGTAATACTTCTTTGAGAGGATGGGTTGTGAAGTGCTGTAAAGCCTCAGGTTGGCAACTGCTGAACGGTCCATGTTATTAAATTCTCAATAACGTACAACAGTTGGTTGGTTTTCCAGAAAGCAGCTCATGACTATAGTAAGTACACATAGGGAACATGTCTTGCCTTGGTAATAGTGTCTAGATAGTTACCCTTTTGTCTCTCCCATGTCCACAAAAATTACACATTTACCTCTTGTGCTTTAGAGTTGGAACTGCATAACTCCCAGTAGAAAGTTTATTACTCTAACTCACTGTGTCACCAAGAACTAGTTAGCAGGATTCTAGAACATCGATTTTGAAGTATTTTTATGGTAAAAGAGGGTCTCTTTATACTTGATAGATTGTCATTTTAAACAGCTACTATTAAGGAGCAAGCTTTGAACTAGAAAGGCATTGTAAAACCATGCCAGGTGAAAGGGGGATACAGGCAGCTACTTCCCATAAGACTAATTTGAAGTCATTTTAAGGTTTAGAATGGATTTTGTTTAAATTGCTCCTGTCTAGAGTTCTTGGGGCAGATTTCCATTACAGAGTATGTTTACAGCAGAAGTTCATGGGAATAGATGTTTAGAATAGTAACAGGACCAGAGATTTAGCCCTGGAGAGCCACAGGAGTAGGGAACATTAAGTTATTTGATGTACTGTACTTAAAAAAAGAGGCCAGGCTTAATTGCTTTAATTTCAGAGTATTCAGGTTTAGGAATACCAATACATACAGTAGAACCTCAGAGTTATGAACACCTCCGGAATAGAGGTTGTTTGTAACTCTGAAATGTTCGTAACTGAACAAAACTTTTTTTCAAAGTTTACTACTAAACACTGAATTAATTCAACTTTAAAACGTTACTGTGTAGAAGAAAAATGGTGCTTTTAACCATCTTATTTTAAATTAAATGAGCACAGAGTTTCCTCACCTTGTCAATTTTTTTTTTTAAAAACTCCCTTATTTTAGTAGTTTAAACACTGTACTGTACTTGCTTTGTTTCTTGCTACTTGCTTTTTGTACTTGCTACTGCCTGATTGCATACTTCTGGTTCCACCAAGAATGGTTTCACTTTTAAAGGTCAGTTCACAGTCTGAACAGTTATTTCTTGTTCATAGCTGGTCAGAATAGAAAAAGCAACAATATTAAAAGAGTTACTAAATGCTAGTTTTAAATAACCCATCAGTAAGGAGTGTAATTTTTCCTGCCCAGAAATGTAGTTAGAATTTCTGGTACAATAATCAGAATGTTCTCCAGATAAGTAGTATATTCACTTACCACAAACCTCTAAAAAAGCCATAGCAGTTTGACAGAACAGGTTGTCCATTTACCTTAGATTACTATGACAAAATTCAAGGTTAAGGAGAGGGAACTGGTTTGAATCATTAAAAGTATATTTAAAAATTGAGTGATTGAGAAAGTCAGAAATACTAAAGCCTCCTTCTGTGCCCAGACACTTGCCAAAAATATCAGGATAAAATGTCTTTTGGATGCAAGCAGGACTGAACAAGAACCACACAAATGCCATGACATGACAGGTGTTTATTCCCCTTATGTTTATCCATAGCAATAAAGCTTACAATAGAATTATATCTTTGATAAAAGTGTACAAGATTTCAGTTATGGATTATTTCTCCATATAAAAGGAAATTTTATTTAATTTCCTTAAATTTCTAATTTCACATTTCCAAATAGTTACAAGGGGCTACAAAAATAAGTGATGCCATTATGCAAATACCCACCACTGACTCCATGCTAAATTGTTAGCATATCTGTTTAGAAGTTACTTACACTTATGACATTCAGTTGGTCAAGACTACAGATGGCTTAGAGTATTGGGAAAATATTCTGAAATAAGTAGCAGTAAAGTGGTGTTTAAATGTTACCGACAAGTACATTTAGTAGCTATCATATCTTCATATTCTTTGTAGACTATAGAACCATCAGGCTCTATTGTCAAGACACTCAAGGGACTATATTCAGCAGGAATGCAAGAGGGCCTTGGAACAGAGGAGTCCAATTTCTCATATATGATGTTCTGTACCATTGTATGGACAGGTGAGCCATAACGATGCCCAACCACCCTTGGGCAGTCACCTTTGCAATATTGAGGGTTGTATCTGTGTGGTGCTATTATCCATTTGTCCCACTTTAGTTGGCTAAAACTTAGTCGAAAGTTGTGAAGCTCACATTCATTTTGGGGAAACAGGAATTGTTTGAAGTATTCACTCAAATTATAAGTTGGTGCAGATGGGTTCTCTTTCACATCATCTCTTCGGTGGCGAGATGCCCTTTTATTCTGCATATTTTCTGTTCCGATTTCTTCCATGGAATCTGCGAGTGGATTATTTCTCCATCTGAACCACATTGGATTCTTCCTTCTATGTCTAAGGGAGTTCCACCTACGATAAGCTTGCTCACTGGTGTCATTTAGGTACAATAGAAGAGAAGGAGGCACCAATGCTGTATTAAAGGAATTTTCGTGTTTAGAGTTGTGGTGTTGATCATCTCTCAGACAAGTGAAATTTACAGCCATATGGATACTCCTCTTGTTAGAGGCAATTAGAGGCTGAAGAAAAGAGGTCACATCAATCTCAACCCATTTGTGTCTTCTGAGTTTGAAGTGCAGATTAAAAGTAATTGACTGTGGTACGTTGGGGCACACTTTACCAGAAGGATCATTTTCCTCAACAGCTAAGTGGCACGTGCATGTAATGGCAGAAGAACTAAAAACTGATCTGTCAAAGGAGTAGAGCAAGACAGACTTGAGTAAATGCTCCAGCGCAGTAACGCGATCCAGATTGAAAAGCAGATCCACTGAGCGCAGGTCTTCTGAAAAAGGAAACAGTCTCTGTAGAGATTAAACAGTTTTCAATAGAAATTGACAATGTACATAATCAAACAGAAATAAGTCATTAAAAGGGGGGAAATAATTTAGACCCCAAAACTCAATTGAACTTAAATTTGATAGTTTGGCAGGGAATGTCCACAAGGATTCCAAAATCTTATTACTCTAAAGAAAATGCATCAATTTGCCAAAAAACCAAAAACAAAAAACCCATACACCACTATACAAATTAACAAGTGGTGGATTGACCTGCTGGCTTCCCACATTGTTCCCACAGTTGCATCAACATTAGTGATACTTCATAAAAAAGGGGGGCAGGCAAAAATGTGTTTGTTAGCGTAAGGAAAGAAGAATTGAAAGCTAAATATGGTAGCAATGGCAGAGAAAAAAAATCTTTGCAGGCTTAAGAGGTATTAGAAACTAGGAGTGAGGAGGAAGCTATACAAACAAGATTGTTGACAATGTCCTCTTAGTGTCAGAGACAGGGAGACAGGAATTGCCTACTGGGTTAAACCCCTGGTTTATACCCCTGGTTTGTAGGTCTAACCCTCGTTCAGAGAGTTTCCAGTTCCAAACCCTTCAGAAGATTGTGCAAGAAAACCTAAAATAAGTAGATGTGAGAAGATCTACCTCCATGAAAGTCATCCTAACCTGTTGTAGTTAACCCCTTGGCTTTGAAGTATTATAACCCTTCCACATTTTTCCCCCATTAATTACAAACAACGCTGGATATTCTTATTCATATAGATATCCAGTCCCTCTGACTTTTGCTAAATTCTTGGCCTCCATGACATCCTGTGATAATGAGTGTTACAGTCTGGTTAGGCATTGCATGTAAAAGTATTTCCTGTGTTCAGCTTTCAATTTGCTACCTTTCAATTTCAACTGTCTCCTTTTTCTTGTATTATGAAACAGGGCGACCAGATGCTTCTGATCGCTTTTTTCGGTACCATTTGTTATTTTGAATACTTTTATCATGTTCCCCTTTTACTCGTCTGCTTTCTAAGGTAAAGAATTCAAGTTGTTTCATTTGGAACATTTTTCCATGCTACTAATCATTGTTCGCCTTCTCTGAACCACCTCTAATTCTGCAACTTTATTTCTGAGGTAGAATATATGCAGTACCGGTCTCCCTAAGTGAGGGCTTTACTATTTAGTGTAGCTGCTCACAGTATTTCATGCTGTTCTCCATTCCACTAAACCTAAAATTGTTTGCTCTTTTTAGCATAGCTTCACATTGAGATGGTGAGTTAGTTCAAGTTTAGTCACTTAAATCACTGTAACATAGAAGACATCTTAAAAGGAGACACCCATAATTAGTTTTTGCTTTTAAGCATTATATTACCATGCTACACAGGGGATTTTATAGCAATGTACCTAAAACAGTACTTTGGCTGCAGTTTATGTGGGAGATCATAATCAATAAATCTAATTGCTTTTATTAAATCTCATCTTACAGAGCACTTTGCCTTAAAGTATATTGTGAAGATTTACATCTGTAGCCAGACTTTTTTTTAATGGATGGAGAACCCCTGAGTCAGAGTTGAATAACGTGTCCACAGCCATATATGTCGGATTAGAAGTCAAGAATTGCTGGTTGCCAGTCTTGTGATCAGACCACATCTTTCATCCCACCCTATACCATCATTTTCTCCTTGAAGCTTCCCAGCTGCATCAGTTTGTCAGCCCTGAAATTAACTCATCTGTAGTCATGCTTTGCAAATATGGATATTCATGAAGTGGGGGAAGGGAATGGTTCTTCTCCGGTAGAAAGTACAGGGGAAACAGTGGACTAATTTGGAAAAGTCCTCTTGTAATGGGATCCCAACACATCATTAATAAGATATTGTTACTGAGAAATGTCACTTGCAGATTGTGTAAAATGCAGAATTTAAAAGTCAGTAAAAGGACAAAAGGTATCCATCAGATTTTAGGGTTTTTTTCCCCTGCTTTACTCAAAGGGTGCAAAAAAGATCAGAGTTAACCTTAAAATGACCATCCTGGATTGTGCTAAAATGAGCTAGGAGTAAGCATCAATATAGCTTTGGATGTGGGTATTATGTAGGTTCAAAGGCCTAAATTATGGAGAAGCCTGGCCTAAACACCATTTAAGGAGACGCAGATTATAGAAAAGCCCATTCAATGCAAAGGAAGAGTCATTCAGTAGATTTAACAGTTAATACCTCTGTAGAGACTAGGGGTTTCTTTACTCTACCCCATTGAAGGAAAGGGGGAAAAGCATCTTAATTACCCCTCCCCCAAAACACCTACCTTTTATTTGGTCCCTGTGGTGGTGCTTGCACTCAGCACATGGAGTGAGGAGCCAGACAGTGTTATAGAGGTGACTTTTGTTGGCTTTTGGGATCCCTTCTTTTGTGGCAGACATCTTATATAACCTCTTCATATACCTAAGGGCTCTGGAATCTGGTTGGAGTCTTGAGGCCTCACTTTCCCAAGTGTGAGGTCTCTGGTCAGACAGCACCTCGAGAAGGGGTGGCAGGAGGGCATAGCCATTTCTCACTCCCGGTGGCAGTAGCAACACTGGTGGTAGCTCAAGGGGCTCCTCCTCAGGAACAAGCAACAGCTCAGGGGTCCTCTCAGATGCTACCTCATCCCTAGAGCTGGGGGAACACAGAGCAACAGAAGAAAGCAACCTGATAAAGTAATAGAAACAGATGAAGATTCTCCAGGGAATTACCATGATGCTGGAGGTCATAGCAGAAAAACCCTCTCCCCATGACAGGTTATATACCAGAAGAGAAAAAGAACCAACCCTGGCCTCTTAAATATAGTTCAGGTGTGAGTGGGAAGGAAGCATCTCTCTGATTACACCAAAGGGAGCGACCTACAGCTGGAGAGTGAATCCAAGTGGCCATTTGAGTTCAGGCTAGAATCTTTGCACATGTAGGCATTTTGGAAACAAGCACCCCACTCTCACGGTTTACCCACTTTCACATGGAAACCATTATTAATTATAAAAGGTGCTAATTAATTAGCATGTTTATCCTCTCTAGCTTCCAAAAGAGACCACAAGAAATGATGGTTGAATAATGGTTATTCTGGCTGGCTGTAGTTACCGCCCCAAAGCAACTTTGTGATTCTAACATAGCTGTGACATTCAAATGTGTTTTTACCACAGTAATGATGCCCACCCAAAGGTAACTGTTAAATAAACCTCAGTGATAATCTTTTAATGAGCTGGTAAGAAAAAGGTTCCTGTAGAAAGACTGAAATTGGGTTTCTTACTGTACCACAGCTGAGATAATGGGGAATAGGAGAAGAAGAAGGAAGTAGAGGGAAAGGTTCAGAGTAACTGGGTGAAAGAGGAAACAAGAGTCGTTCATGAATAATTCTTTAATTTGAAATCTGATGTTTAGCTACTCTGGTACACTCTGGGCATGGTATGAATGTATTCTATAGGTAGATCTCTCTGGTGATCTAAGTAGTGATAGTATACTAGTCATGAGAGGGACTAAAAGTGCACACACTGTGTTCTAAGCATGGGTCTCTGAGATAGAAATGTCTGAATTCCTATCCCTACTTGCCCTGTTAACTTCTTGTGTGATCTTTGGCATTTAGGGTGGGATGAACATTTGAACAAGGGTATTTAGATACCATATTCCTGTTTTTAGGCACCACTGTGATCCACAAACCCCACTCAGCTTCTGCCTAACCCAGTAGGTACCCAAACTCACTCGGTGTCACGGTTGTTTCCTGTTGGTATGTACAGCCTCACTCTAGGCACCTGAGCTTGTGCACTACTGCCTTATGATAGGTATCAAGACACTGTCTCCTGACTAAGCCCCAGAGTGATTCACACGCTGGGAAAGATAGGCATTCAGCCAAAGATCTGTGCACACCTACTGGATCAGGACCCTCAGGCAAGTTCACATAAAATCTGCTCAGCTCTCATTACATGAGATTTTCACTGAGCTGAGCAGATTCCAGAAAAATATTTCCAGCTACATTTAATTCTGTAATAGGGCTGCATCATAAATGCATACATTTAGAATGTAGTTCTCATGTTTGTGGCAACTATTATATAAATCAACAGGAATAAAATAAACAGTTTAAAACATTTAATGTGTGGCTGTAAACAACTAAGATGTACTCCACTATATACTGTAGAAGACTTGTACTTTTCTGTCAGTTTATAACGAATGAGCCAAATTCAGACATGGGTTGTGTGGGTACAACTCCACTGAAGTCAATGACCCACTTAATCCATGCCTGATCTTGGCTCAATATATTTAAAACAAAACAGAAAACTCACTAGTAATACCTGAGATAATTAAAAATAAATGAATGTTAAAAATCTTACTTCTTTTCCCCCATGGATACTATTTGTTTCTGTTTTGTAAGTCGCCTATTGTAGTTTTATTCCCAGCCAGTTTCCCTTTATCATAAATCTGCCCTGGCTCAGCACTGTGATATCTATGTTGGAAACACTGAAGGCAAATGTTTAATTCCAAACAGAGTTTTTTTCATTTAAATTACAATAAAAACAAAATAAAAAAAATCCTTGCTCTGACAAAACCAATTTTTTCCCCCTTAACTACCTGATCGTGCCAATAGAAGTATTAATTAAAGCGTAAAGTCACTGATTTATAGCTATCATTTGCTGTTAACATGCTTCTTGCCTTTGACTTCTCTGCAGATACTAATACCAATCTTAGAGATATGGAATAGAAAAGTAATTGCGGGTATAGTGCCCTCAGATTACCTTTCAATCCCTAAGTAAAGCCCTTCTACCTCCAATCTGAAATCTAGGCATCCAAATAAGCAGGGTGCTTTTCGATCACTACTGGCTATCTATGGAATGTGCTCCTAAGGACCTCTGCTAGAGCACTGTTGATTACTTCTGGAATGTATAGAGCTGCCTGTTGCTGAACATGTCTAATTGGGATTTTTTTTGTTTTATTAGGATACTACTACCTGACAGAATCTCCTTTCTTGTCAGTTGTTTTTAATTAGAGCCATGTTATCAGTAGTGTGGTAAAATGTCACCCCATCGTTTAACTTTCCTATCTCACTGTTTCCAAGAAAGGAGAACTAGCTCAGAGAAAGCTTAATTAACTTACAAAATGTCAGGCTGGCATACTTTCACTCAGATTGGAAGGTTAATTATAAAACTGATCAGAATTATATTCAGCTAACCCTCTATGTACCAGAATAATGTAACCTTGTTTCTTTTGCCTGCTCACATCTGATCAGGTTATGATAAGAGGAGAGCACTGCCACTTCTAAGGTCAGTTAAAATTTAAACATTTTGTTTTATGGGTTAGTTTACACTTCCATGCTTTAAATAGCATCCATCAACCAACATGCTAGCCTCAAACCACTCCAACAATTCTTAACGTCTAGGTACTGACATAATAATAAATCTTTTACTATAATTCTAGATAGTGGATCCTAGTCAAATCTCAGATATTCTTATGCACACACTGCACTGTGAGATGAGAGAGGTTTAAAAAGATACATATTTAAAACTGTAGCTGTCAGGTGGACTGGATGGCTCAAGGAAGTAGTGATGAGCTATAGAGGCTTATATACCTAGGTTACAGGTGTGAATCTAGACCTAGGCAGAGGTGCCCTGAAAATTGCCATTGTTTGGTGGCCTGTGTGAAATGAGTTGCCCTTCCGGTGGTCAAGTGTCCCAGTCACCAAAATACACCATGTGTATTAATTGGCCCCTTTGTTAGCAGTCCTGAAAGAGAAGACATGGACTGAGTGGACCATATGGTGTGGTTGCACTGTCATCTTTTTTCCAATTTCCACCAATGCACTACCCAAGGTGCAGCTCCGTTGATGGCAGCAACAGTGAATATAAACTACAGCTGGCATTTTAACCATTGTGTTGTCTAACCATGTTCATAGCAGGTCTAGATCGCATGGAGTCAGATTTTCAAAAGATCTAGGGATTACATTTTCAAGTATTCAGTACTCACAATTGGGACTAGATTTTCAAAAGCGCTTAGAGCACAGCAACTCCCTACTCTGATTTTTAAGATGCATATATCTACTAGGCTGAACTCTTTTGACAGTCTGGCCTTCGTCTCCCCCCAGTCCCCCCAAGTGGGAGCTGAGCTTTTTTGAAAATCTGGCCCATAATATCACAGGCATTTTCAGCAGTGTTGCCATGGTCATGGCTTCCTGAGGAGGCAGCCATAATTTAGGGCAGCCCTTGGATTGTCTACTTCATCCAGTGGGCTGCACTTGTGTCATGGAGTCATTGGGTGATGTTCTGGAACTATTCCATATGGAGCCAGTCAGGATTCTGGGGTAGCATATCTCCTCTCTCTGAGCATACTGTCACCAGGGCAAGAAGTTTACACAGCTTCAACCTTCCTGGATCTGGCCCCGAAGCATTCAGCATCCCTTTCCACACCATGCACTTCCCGCAGTGAGGCCGCCTGGGTGGGGCTCCTAGGGAAGCCAAAGGGCCCTGCACCCCAACTCTGCAGTCAGCAGTGATTCTCAGCCAGCGTAAAACAGAAGGTTTATTAGTTGACAGGAACACAGTGTAGAACAGAACTTGTCAGCACAGAAATCAGTGACTTTCAGCCAAGTCCATCTTGGGGGACCCCGGGCCAGACCCCCTGGACTTCCCCATCTCAGTCCCAAAAAACGCAGTCCCCCAGCTTCCAGCAAGCCCACCTCCAACCCGCCCATTGCTCCTCCTCCTGGCCTTTGTCTCCTGGTCGCATCCCCCTCTTGGGTCTCAGGTTACGAAGGGCATTGGCCGTTGTCTACACGTAGAGTTGGGCAGCCTCACCTGCCCGAGGGCCTCAGCGAAAGTCACACACCCAATGCCCATCACCTAAGCATTGGTTCAATACACAGGGAAACTGAGGTATACGCAGTATTAGTATAGGACAGTAAGACTCATCTGGAGTACTGTGTCCAGTTTTGGGCCCCACACTACAAGAAGGATGTGGATAAATTGGAGAGAGTCCAGCGAAGGGCAACAAAAATGATTAGGGGTCTGGAACACATGACTTATGAGGAGAGGCTGAGGGAGCTGGGATTGTTTAGCCTGCAGAAGAGAAGAATGAGGGGGGATTTGATAGCTGCTTTCAACTACCTGAAAGGGGGTTCCAAAGAGGATGGCTCTAGACTGTTCTCAATGGTAGCAGATGACAGAACAAGGAGTAATGGTCTCAAGTTGCAGTGGGGGAGGTTTAGATTGGATATTAGGAAAAACTTTTTCACTAAGAGGGTGGTGAAACACTGGAATGCGTTACCTAGGGAGGTGGTAGAATCTCCTTCCTTAGAGGTTTTTAAGGTCAGGCTTGACAAAGCCCTGGCTGGGATGATTTAACTGGGAATTGGTCCTGCTTCAAGCAGGGGGTTGGACTAGATGACCTTCTGGGGTCCCTTCCAACCCTGATATTCTATGATTCTATGATTCTATGACTACATGCAACATAACAAGGTGAATAAAACCCCACTTCATCACAACTTGTCCCTGGAACAGCCCAGGAAAGAGGATGCAAAGACGGTCTCAAAATCGCCATGGGGCTTTCTCCCACAGAGCTGCAAGTTCTGTAAGAAGTGCAGCACAGAATGTCATCTATTAGCAGATCACTGTAAAGGAAACTTACACTGCTGCTGACCACGTTATAGCCATTCTGTGCACAAGTAGAGGGCTTCAGTCTCTGGTGATTAGTGTGTATTATTGTGGTGTGTGGAGCTTTCAAGATCCGTTGTAACGGTGGTTACTGCAACCCAAATGCCTACAACATTCTGGAGGCAGGATTCAAAGAGACTGGTCACCTGGAAGCAGCTGAATATGGACAGTGAACCAAAAAGAATAATAATAAATGATACGTGAGGCTAGATGTAGCTTGAAATCAAGGACATCTCTCCCTGTGCTAATGGTTCATTTTGCTATTGTTCTTATCTAACTAAAGTCATCATTGCAGTTAACTGAAAAAGGCATGCTTAGTTACTGGAGACATGACATTCATGAGCACTAAATTACTAAGAGAAGAAAATTGAAACACGGAGGGAAGTGCTTTAAAAAAGTTAGCAGACTATAATTAACTCTGTCAGTAAGTGCAAGATTAAGATCTTGTAAAATATGTTTGTTTTTTACAAAAACTGAACCCAACAAAAATATTTCCATTATTATTTTTTTTAAATTTCCAGTTCATCAGTTTTCTTCATTTAAAGAAAGAAATATTGCCCTGCAGCTTTTGCAACAAAGGGCCCTGATCCTCCTGTCACTCATGCAGATTCAGTGGAGCCTCATTGGGGTCAATGGAGCTCTGCCTTGGCACAAGGGTTTGCCCCTTGCATGTGGTTACATGCGGTTTGTGTCCAAAAAGAACATGAAAAGTGAAACTGATTATAAACAAAAGTTATACTGACAAATGACTTTCTTTGCTCAAGATAAGAGAAAGGCCAAAATTAAATAAACAGCATGTGGTCCATATAATTTTGGACCTGTAGAATAAAGGATTTTAAAAAACACTATTTTAAAAAAATAATAGACTGTATTTTTTTGTTTTAATACTTGTAAGGTGTTATTAGTAACATGGAGAAGAAAGGTTTGTTTACAACATATGATGTTAAAAGTTCTCTTTTGAGTTGAGAGTTTCTCTTTACAAATATGTCAACTAAAAACCAGTAGAATAACATACAAAGTATTTCAAAAGTCTGATCCATGCATATCTAAATATTCCATCAGTATAGGGGAGTGAGGATTAAGAGCTAGTAGTTTCCCTCCCCAGAGTGATCACAGACTGTATTGCCTATGATCTCCTCCCACTGACATCTGGATTGAAGACTTCCTTCATCTCCCTTAAGTTTAATAGTCTTTCAGCATCTGACCGAGGGGATGTGAGAAATGGAGGTGAAGCAAGATGTGAGCTCTTAATACAAAGAAAATGGAAAAGAGTAGAATTTATGGGTTATAACAATTTTACTTCTAAAAGAGCAAGCAGATATTCCTCCTAAGAAACATGCTTTTTCCTCAAAGTCTATCCATATTAAAGGGTCACGCTCAAGTTAAAAAAACATTTTTAAAAAACCCTCTGAGTCTGATCCAGCAGACACATCTGTTATTACTAATGTTGTTGTTTTTATCAGGAGTGATTCAACCGCAGTCAGTGGGATTAGACCTGGTAGTAAGCACTATGGCCATATTATATATTTGCAGGTTCAGGTGCAAACATCTTTAAGTAGGATAGTAACAAGAGCTTAGATTATTAAAACTGAAAAAAAAAGATGCAAATACTTTTTGCCGCTTATGCTCATTGTTTAGGTTTTCCATGATAATGGACTAGTGAGCTTCCCTTCTGTTCTAGTCGGTTTCAGTTTCTAGTTTTCCTGCACTAGTGCAATGTTGAAAAGTTTGGATGGTAAACATAACAGAGGAATGTATGTTTCTTTAAAAGAATGGAATTGAACAGATATAGAAACAATTTTGCTGGACTGAAGTTGTATAAATAGCTGGATCTCTTTCCCTGCAAGCAGTCATGCATTGCTTAACTCTTATTCAAGTGAGTAGTCCTATTGAAGTAAAAGGGACTACTTACATGAGTCGTCACTCATATGCATGAGTGTTTGTGATATTGAGGCATTGGAGTTTTTTAAATAAAACTCAAAATCTGAGCCAAATTAGAGTTGATCATGTCCCTTTAAAAAATTCCACACCATTTTTAGACTATTATCTGGTCTTCCAATGCATTACATATTTTAAATGTTTTGCTCTGTCTTTTATTAAATTTAAGATTCTTGGGACAGGAGCCATGTCCTCCTATATTTTTTTCACCAAGAAGCACACTAACGACACTGGTCAGTAAGTTCTTCTGCTAATAATTTTTAAATTCCTGTAAATGAGAACTGAGGAATGTGCGGCTTTGCCTGGTAGTTAGGTACTGAGGTTTGTTTGTTTCCACAAGACAGCAAAAGCATGAGTCACAGGTACAGAAGTTATGCCATGATAAACAAGGGTTTTAATTCTAGCTCACTGAGCCGATTCAGTGGACTTTGAAACACAAGAAATGTCAGGTGCTTTCTGCAGAGTCCATTAATATTGTCTATAGAAGCTTAACTTACTACATCCCCACAAACGTCGTAATCATGCTGTTGCTATACAGATGTGAGCCGTGGCAATTTTCAAAGAAATGCGTGTTTAGAAATAAAAGGAGAAATATTCTTTGTTACTTATGACAGCTCATTGTTACCATAAACACCAAAAGATTTTGATGCTCTATTTGTTTACAGAAATAGCACACTTTTGTGGCCACTAAAATAAGAGCAATTAGTTACTATCCCAGGTAAATGAAGTCAATGAGTGCAAAAAGTAAGGTCATAGGGCTCAGTCTTAAATACCTGCTACCTATCAGTCAAGGATAGCCACAGGATGGGCCCCTGAGTCTGTAATCACAACCCTTCCTAGTGTTCTGGACCCTCTAGGTGTGATAGTTGCTCCTCTGTCATTTTGCGGAAGACTCAATTTCTTTTGTGTCTCCACCTGCGACAATGTAAGATTAATTGTCATTTTGTTTAGTTACCTTCAGTGTTTGGGGAGGCAGACTGGCTAGGTTCTTTCCGTCTCTAACTTCTGTGATTGTTTCTTTCCAGAGTCTGGCTATAACTGATTACCCTAGAGAAGGTTGGGAGATTAGTACTGAAGCTTCATAAAAATAATTTGCAGTAATATGGCATCATCTGAGGATCTGGGATAACTAATGTTAATTATTTAACGAGATTGAGCCAGGAAGTATAGCTGGAGAAACTGAGTCATAAAGAGGTTATGTGGCTTGCCTCGAGTCACACAGTGAGAGATCTGAGAATAAAAAAAATAAATGAAGTTTTGACTCCCATTCCCTGCTCTGACTACTAGTCTAAGGTACCATTATATTCCCAACATCCTCTACCCAATGCTTTAAAAGAATTATATACGATGGTACCTAACAGACTTTTCAAATGTTAATGAATAAGGTAGCTACAGTTGAACTTACATTGTTCACAGCAGGTATCTCTTCTTTCCTGTATATATCTGCTTAAAGTTACAGGGTCTAAATGATCTAATAGTCCTTTTTCATCACTAATATTTAGATTTACTAACAATAAGATTTTAAGTTAATTCCTCATGTTTAACAGTCTACTGACTTCTATATTGGATAAGGATCTGCTCACCAACGGCAAAGTCTCTCCTCTAATTTGCTGTGTTATTTACATGTAGGTAAACATATCTTCTGTAGCTCTTTACATCACAGAAAGCACTGTACAAATATTAACAGATACACAAAATATCATGGGTTATTATTATTCCACACTTTACATATAACAAAATTGTGGCACACAGGAAGGCAAAATGACTTGCCAAAGGGTGCATAGAAAGTTAGTGCAAAGCTGGGATTGAACTCCAGAGTTTCTGGAACCCATTTGTTTGTTCAGCCCATATTGCCTACCTGTCACTTTGTCTAGAATTACTGTAAATTCTTGACCAAAATAACATTTACAATAAATGACCTTGTGGACACTTTGGACAGAGTAATCAATTGTATTGTTGATTCAATAGTTTTGTTTAGTGACGTAATAAGTGATAGCATGGGAAGAGTTTCACTTTATACTGTTGTGAAAACATATGATTAGCAAGGAGGTGCTTGGCAGTTTCAGTCACTGAAAACCAGAAGAAACTTTGTCCTCTGATACTAGACTGTCAGTAGCAGTATGGGTATAAGTGTGTTGTCTTTATCAAACCTCTTCAGTTTTACAACAGTGGAGGTGTGTGTTTCCAAAGTATGTTTTTACAGAGCTCTTCAATATCAAGGGCTTAATTCACATCTCAGTTACACTGTACTTTACTACTGAAATTCATTAAGGAAGACTGTGGGATACTCCACGTTAAGGCAGTTCATTAGACTGCTATATTTTTAGCTTGTTAAGCAAAAATCGCATGAAATCTAACAGCTCTTTCCGTGTTGGGAATCAGATACTAATTTTAAAATAATGAGAATTTAGTGCTTCTGAAAAATAACAGATTGACAGCTGCATAGAACAGTTCTCTATCCACACAACAGTTACTGCAGCAGTTCCAGCTCCCTGAAGCATCCCTGTCCTGGAGGGACCATCCCTATTCAAAGTATTTCTAGACTGCATATCCCCATAGAATCCATGAACTGAAAAGCATAAAAAGATACAGAAGTTTCATTTCCAGGCCCATTTACTCCTTGGCTTGTCTGCAAGGACCAACAACTAGTGGTGACATGGACACCTGTCCACTAGGAACTAGACTGAGGTCACAGACTCATTTCACACAAGCCACTGAATAACTATCATAGCATAACATCTTTCAGTCATTATCAACCCTTAGACTGATTTGAACCAGCTACTTAGGGCGAAAGGCTCTGTGAACATTTACTAATACTATTGGCCATCCAGTCCCATAGAAAGTTATTCTTTGAGTGTAATGGGACTTTTATTAAAGTAGAATTTCTGTAGTTCATCCACTGAACTTGCATTAGTTAAATGTGCTAGTCCCTCAACCTGTGTGCACTACAAATGTAATAGGGTGAGATGGATTTTGTAAAAGTTGTATCTACCAAATATTTCTGTTTGGAGTCCTAGATATACTCAGAAGGGGTGAACGTGCTCCCACTGGGTACTGTGGTGCTCTGGAGAGATCCCCTCTGTACTCCCTAGATCCCCTCTGTATTCCTGCCTAGAACTTTGGAACAAAAGAAGTAGAGAATGGTCCACAAAGAATCCGTTACAGTGTTATGTAAAAGCCTAGTGGAAGAGGAGGACCCTGAGTAAATTTTGGGCAGATACCCATCCAATTCACCTGTTTGCTCTTAAACACTGAATCTTAGTGCATTGACCAAAGACTCCCAGTTACTTAGGCTGCATTAGATGCGCATGACAGAGGAAATTGTGCCCTTTTGGATTGTTTACAATTGCACTCATTCACTCTGTTTAAGCAGAATTGCTAAAGAAGGAGTTGTGCCAGGTCCTGCCGTTGAGCTGGGAGTTGATTCTGCTTCTCACAGGACACCACTGGAAGATGCAGCATTGTACTCCTTGGGAACTGGTAGTGCTTAGAGACCTTTTCCTTCAGCACTTGTATGGTCTTCAACATAATAAGTTTGTTTTCCTGTTGTCAACCCCTAATGATTCAGACAGAGAGCTTTTCCCCCTGGGTATCTTCACAAAAAGGAAAGCAGCTCTTTTATTTAGATATAGCAATTGTGTATATGTAAAAGAGGGGCAAAAGCTGCAAGCAGGGCCCATCAGTGGAAGCTTCACGGGGTACATGTTTCGATTCTGACCCCGTCTGATGTTTATCCACTGTTGTGAATTGGTGCCAATGACATCTTTGTACTAGTTCTGCCTGCTCGCTTTCAGACATCCCTAGCCTTCAGTGGTACCCAAGCAATGCAACTCTTCTGTTCTACTGAATCCGTGGTTTTCAACCTTTTTTCATTTGCGGACCCCTAAAAAATTTAAAATGGAGGTGCGGACCCCTTTGGAAATCTTAGACATAGTCTGCGGACCCCCAGGGATCCACGGACCACAGGTTGAAAACCACTGTACTAATTAATCTTCTAGGTTTTCCCAGTGACCATGGGACTGGGAGTCATTAATGATATTGTTAGTCTGTCAGCATTTCTTTTGTAGATTCCATTTATAAAAATTGGCTCTTGGTTGTAAATTCACGTTAGATGTTTTTCATGTGCTAAGAATATATGTATTTCCCTAACTAATCCATGTGCTTGTGCTCAAGGGATGCTCCCTGTTACCTTAAACTCTGCCATAAATTCAGATCCCACTGCTCCCTTCATTTGAGCAAAGGGAAATGCTCAACTAGTTATTAGCAGTATCAGGACTGAGAGTCACAGTTCTTCCATTCTGATTTCATTCAGCATGGGCCTTATTATCTCTTAGTGTAGAGGTGGGCAAACTATGGCCTGTGGGCCACATCCGGCCCACGGGACCCTCCTGCCCGGCCCCTGAGCTCCTGGCCTGGGAGGCTAGCCCCCGGCCCCTTCCCCGCTGTTCCCCCTCCCGCGCTGCCTCAGCTCACAGCACGGCCGGCGCCATGCTCGGGGAGGGGGGGCTGCGAGCTCCTGGGGCAGCGCAGCTGCAGAGTCCGGCCTGACCCGGTGCTCTGTGCAGTGCAGGACGGCTGTAACGCCACCAGCCACCGGTGCTCCAGGCAGCGCGGTAAGGGGGCAGGGAGCAGCGGGGGTTGGATAGAGGGCAGCAGAGTTTGAGGGGGTGGTCAGGGGCCAGGGGTGTGGATAGGGGTTGGGGTGGTCAGAGGGCGGGAAACAGGAGGGTTGAATGGGGGCAGGGGTCCCGGGGGCAGTCAGGAAGGGTGGGGCGGGGGGTTGGATGGGGCGGCAGGGGGCAGTCAGGGACAGGGGTTCCGGGGGCAGTCAGGGGACAGGGAGAATGGGTGGTTGGTTGGGGCAGGGGTCCTGGGGGGGCAGTCAAGAATGAGAGGAGGGTTTGGATGGGGCGGTGGGGGGCAGTCAGGGGTGGGGAGTCTGGGGGCGGTCAGGGGACAGGGAACAGGGGGTGATGGATGGGGCAGGAGTCCCAGGCAATGTTCCCTCTAATTTTTGACAGGCCGTGTGCGCAAAAAATATCTTCTGTGCAAATTGTTGTGCTTCTGTGCAAATGTTTGTGCATGTGGTGTTTCGCACACGCACACAGCTTAGAGGGAACAGTGGTCCCAGGGGGGCCATCAGGGGGCGAGAAGCAGGGGGGGTCAGATAGGGGGCAGGGGCTGGGCCATGCCTGGCTGTTTGGGGAGGCACAGCCTTCCCTAACTGGCCTTCCATCCAATTCTGGAAACCCGATGTGGCCCTCAGGCCAAAAAGTTTGCCCGCCCCTGTCTTAGTGGGATAATAAATCTGAGGATAAATACAGCAATTCTGCCATTGGATTTGTGGCGTATCCCACACCTGTAAGATGAATGCAAGCTGCAGTTAAATGTTAATATATAAAAATTCCTATTAGTAACTTCAAACAGTCAGTGAAGTAATCAATCCAGGAGAGTTTCCATAGCATCATCTGTAGCTGACTGGGAAGAGAAAAATAATAATAAAAAGCTTTTCCACTTTTACGGAAGTGGCACAGCTTATGGATTCTGAGGCTGCTCCTCCTTTAAGTCTTAACTGTCCGCCATCCAAAAGGAAAGCAATCTCTGTAGGAAGGCACAAGCTCAGATTAGATGCTGTTAAGACGGCACCTTAACAGAGCTGGGGCTAGACCACAACTTTCGGATCCACTGCTAAAGTCTGGGGCATTCAGTTCTGGGGATTTTAGCTTGGATCCATCTCAGCTTCTTAAGTAAAAGACAAATCACAGGAGGTTCCCCCTTTCGCTCTGCTCCACCTCTGCAGTGAAGGTGTTATGAATACCTGGCTGTCCTAGATACTGTTTCTGTACCTTGAAGATTATAACTGCCAGCTCAATCTTGACTAGTACTGTAATCAGTGGCATACATTGCCTGGTATTCTTTTGCCCAGTGTTAGCTGCTGTTTTCTTCCCCCCTTTTGCAGGAGGAGATCTGGGTCATGTTGAAATGCTTCTACTCCGACGCCAGAGCTGCAGGTTCATTATTCTAACCCCACCTCCCTTCATCTGATTGGACAGGGAGCCCTTCCAGTTACCTTTACGGTCTAAAAGTAGCGAGGGGAACCGCAGAAACTGGAAGAGTTTAATGTGTTGCTTCTAGCCTGCCTGTGTCAAGGAATAACAGCAAGCCTTTGCTACGTGCTGGCACTGCAAGGGAAGCGGCATTGTCTGCAGTAGCTAGTGACAAAGCCAAGCTCGCTCACGGGAAGCACAAAGGGAGCCTGGGCAAGTAGTGGGATGCAGGTAATTATGGTTGTTTGCGGCCAGGGCTCCGGGCTGTTGTGTCTTTGCAATCATTGTTGACAAAGCTGGGGACTGATCTGATGACCGCTCCTGATGATGACCCAGCTATATTTATAGCACTGATTGGTTCTAATTGCTGTAAATGTGGGTGCCCTTCGGGAGGTAACTTGCCTTTGTGACGGTGAACGGAAACCTACAGAGCTAGATGAATTTAGTGATGGGGGCGGGGGAAGACCATCGATGTCATGAAATAATGTGAAGTTCAGTGATCCTTCAGAATGTTTGGGAAAATCGATGTTTTAAGCCAACCTGTTGAATATAAATGATAAGCCAAGTCCTCATCCCCTATTGTAAACAGATATAACTGAAATTTAGAAAGTGTGTGTGGAAATAGGGTTTGTTTCCTAGGCATTGCCTTTTGATCAGTTTTGCAGTATTAAACGAGTAATTACACTATCAGAAAATGTAATATTGTCTGTTAACAGAGGGGGTTTTAGAAAAATGACATTATATAGTGAGATTATATTTTATAAGCGAAAAGAATCCTTTTATAGTTCAGAATGTGCTGGAATTCTACTACTACAGCATGTTGGGGGAGCAACAATGTGGTTTTATTTATATGCTCCTTTCAGTAGCTGATTTGAACCTTTATTATTTGTTTTAAGGTCTTGATCTACACAATTATTTCCTGTAAAAATCACAGGGGCAATAATGGCCTCAAAATTTCTGTTCCTGTTGTGCAGAAACCCATTAACAAGATGCTTATCTCAGAAATAACTCTCTATAGCAGCATTTAATGCCAGTATTGCAGGGATTGAGCAGAGCTGTGTGGAAATAACAAATATTTCGTCACAAGGTATAGCAGAAAACAACTCCTAATAGAGCTGTGGGTTATTTTGTCCTTTACAATTTTTTTTCACAAACTGGTAATTTAAAAAAAAAAAAAAAAGAAACTACCCAGAATTTCAAATATTGTGCATGTTGATGTGAAACTTAATGTCAAAACAAAATATTGAAATTCAAACTTTAAAAATGTCTTGGTACATATTTTTTAAAAAGAGATCCATTTTGAGTGAAAGTGGGTTTTTTCCCCTCCCACTTAGAAATGGTCCTATTTTTCAAGTGAAAAGACACGCAAGATTGCGCAGGTCTTTCATAAAACTGATCATATTTATAAAAATTGAGGGCAAAATGCAAAACCTATAGACTCAAGACTCTTGTTATGAACATTCTGCATACTGAGGCTGTCATTTTGCATTAGTTGGTGTTTAGGTACAAGAGGGCCAGATCCTGATATCTTTCTAATGCTGAATAACACTTTAAATCCACCAGTAGCCTCACTAAGTAAGGGTACCAGAATTTGGCCCACAATAGGCAGAATTATAGGCTGGGTTGGTAGTGCCTCCTATTATTAAGGTTGCTTGATACCTCCCATTAGAAGACCCTATCTTCATTTGCTTACAACTTTGCCAAATGTTAACCATTTAGGCTGAAATTTTCCATGCCTTGTGTCTGCCTCAGGCTGATTGATTGATTGACTTTTATTTTTATTTTTAAACTTCAGCCAAAACAGCTCAATAGTTTCAGAGAAAGAGGCTAGGGAAAAAAATATTCTGTTTTGCCCGTTTTTAAAAAATGATGACAACTTTTTATTTGAACAGATCTAGTAATCCCATGCCTTGGAACAGAAAGTTGAAATTCCCCAGGAAGTGGTCTTTATGTCAGGGGTGTGCTTTTTGCTGTCCCTTGTGAAAATCTGCCCAAATTGGCCAAGTTATAAGTCTTTGGAAAATTGCAGTTTGCATGTACTCAGAGACTTCTTTAATTTTTAGCAGCTAAAATCTCTGAAGAGTCCATCCTCAGTGAGCATGCTCACTATCTTTAAAAGTGACCTGCAAAGGAAAAAAACCCGGGTTAGAAATATCATTAATGTCAAGTCTAATCATCCCTCACACATTTTAAACAGTCTTAATTAAAAACCAGTTTCTGATTTATGTGACTAGGTTTCACTTCTTTAGTATTTTGATGTCATAATTTCATTGTTTCTCCAATTAGCCATAGAGTTTTCTAGGGGAGACAAGACCCAAATTTCTAATTTAAGGCCCTGGAGGTGGGGGAAGAGCTGCTGTTAAGATAATGAAAACTTTTCAGGCCTTTAAAATAATAGACATAAACCCTTTTTTCCTATTTGTAAGTAATGCCTTTATAAACTTTTCAATAATGTTTGAATTTGTTCACCAGGAGAGTTTAGTTGGATCCTCAGCTGGTATAAATCAGCTTCTGAAATTAATGGAATCATGCCAGTTTACAGCCGTGTAAGATCTGAACCTTTAAGGGCAAGTCAAAAATACTGATTCCAATACCTAGAATTGATTAGAGTAGCAGGGAACCATACAATTAAGGAGACCTACATTCCCTGTCTGCTGACCTTCTTCAGTTCATCAGTATTCTTTGCTCATTTTTCATCACCATTTATACAGTAGAATCTGTAGAAATGTAAAACTTTCTTGAAAATAGGGATACATTAGTTTCAATAGTATGTGAAAAATGAATTGCTTTGGATATTTCTTCTCCATTTCCTCCTGGCTGATTTAGGGCCTGGTCCAAAGCCTATCAAAGCCCATTGAAAGAGTGCCATTGACTTCAGTGGGCTTTTGGATCAGGCCTTTAAAAATCTTTTGAATGCAAATTACCCTCCAATGTGGAATAAAATAATAAAAGACTTGGAGGAATGGAACAAATATCAAATTTCTTGGCTCTGTAAGTTAGATATAGTAAAGATTAATATCCTCCCAAAATTACTATTTTTGCTTCAGTGCATTCCTGTTTGTATCTCTGACATGACATTAAAAACATGGCAGGATGCATTATTAAAATTCATCTGGAACATAAAGTTCTAAAGTTTTCTATAAGCCTACAAAATGGGGTGGACTAGCTTTCCCTAATTTGGTGTATTATTATTTCATTATATTATGCATCACAGTTAAAAGATATGACCAATTGGGTTAGCAGTAGATCATCCAAATACTGGGTAAAACTTGAACAAGACTGAGGTCCAGTTATAGCTATTTGTATTAACTGTTGGGTTAAAAAGAAATGTAGGTCACCAAAAATAAAAAGTCACCCATTCATCCAGGCCATTTTAGCCGCTTTGGACAAATTTTCTAAATTCCTGTCACCAAAGCCCTCTCTCTTAGCTACTTGCATTAACAATCAGAAATTTCTCTCTAGGAAATATCAGAGTGATTATTCGTTGTGGTAAGAGCTGAGAATGAGATTACTCAATTCAGACAGCTGTTCCTGGGTCCTGATTTGAAATCATACCAGGAGGTATGTAATAATGTAAATAATATAAAGATCCCATATTTTCAATATTTACAAGTTAAATATTTTATTATAAAATCTGGATATGAGGTACTTCTGTCTAGAACTTTAATCACAGTTGAGCAAGCTAGAACTTATATAATCACAATTTTGATTGAAGAAGATATTGATAAGAAAACAACCCAGATGAAATAATCAGAGAGGGATTAGGACAAAGAAATTGATCTGGGTCCCTATATGGGAAAGGGAATATACATCTTCAAAGGCTAAAAAACTGGGCATATTTAATCTTGAGAAAAGAAGACTGAAGGGAGACCTGATAACAGTCTTCCAATACGTTAAGGGTTGTTATACAGAGGATGGCAATCAATTATTCCCCATGTCCACTGAAGGTAGGACAAGAAGTAGTCGGCTCATTCTGCAGCAAGGGAGATTTAGGTTAGAAAGTAGGGAAAATTTTCTAACTACAAGGATAGTTGAGATCTGGGATAGACTTATAAGGGAGGTTGTAGAATCCCTATCATTGGAAATTTTTAAGAACAGGTTAGACAAGCACCTGTCACAGATAGTCTAGGTGTACTTAATCCTGCTTCAGTGGAGGGGCTGGACTAGATGATCTTTTGAGGTCCCTTCCAGCCCTATGTTTCTATGATTATTGGAATTGTGTGACCCCCCCCTCCTCCTATGGAATTGTGGTATAACATGAAATGTGGACTGTCTTTGTGATGGAAAAGCCTTCACACCAAGTACTCTGATACGAATACCAGAATTATGGATTTTCCGGTCAACCAGACATCCTCTGGAATTGGAAGTAATCAGGCAGCAGTGTAGACAGACAGATACATACACACACACAAGCAAATACTTTACTGCCTCGGGGCTTTAGCCTTGGGCAGGCACCGATTCTGTGGGTGCTCCAGGGCTGGAGGACCCTCGGGGAAAAAAAAATTTTGGGTGCTCAGCCCCTACCAACAGCCAGCTCCCCCCCCCCCGCCCAACTCTCCCAGTGCCACCCGCCTGTCGTGATCAGCTGTCCTGCGGTGTGCAGGAGGCACTGGGGGGAGGAGTGGGGATGGGGTGCGCTCACAGGGGGGGAAGAGGCAGGGTGGGGGCGAGTGGTGGTGAGAAGAGGCAGGGCAGGGTGGAGGTTTAGGGGAAGGGGTCAAGTGGGGGTTGGAGTCTGGGGTGGAGTGGGGGGTTTGAGCACCCCAGGGCCTGTAGGAAGTCTGCGCCTGTGGCCCTGGGGCTCAGGGTTTCAGCTGCGGGGGTGGGGATTAGGACTGCAGCCGCAGGGTGGATTTGGGGGGGTCAGGGCTCTGGGCAGGGGGTGAGGCTCAGGGTCCCCAGGGCTTCTAACCTTCGGGAGCACCATGGCTCAGAGCTTCAGCTCCGCGGGAGGTTTCAGCCCCAGCGCTCCCCCCGTAGCTAAAGCTCCAGGCTCCGATGCCTCCCACTGAAATCGGGAGCAGATCCATGGGGAGCCCTGAGCCCCAGTGCCCCTTCACAGGGCTTCAATCGGGAATGGAGACATGGGGCTGAAGCCCTAAACCCTGGCACCCCTCATGAGGAAGAAGCCAGGAACGGCGCTGTGGGGTTGAAACCCCGAGCACCAGCACTTCCCCCAGATCTAAAGCTCTGAGCCCTGGTGCTCCAGAGGGTCACAAACCCTGACACCCCACCTTCCCCACAGCTGAAGTCCATAACGTCTTGTTCAGAGATACAGACATTTCAGAGTTACGGATAACCTCCATTCCCGAGGTGTCCAGGAGAACCTCAGAGTTACATAGATATTTAGAAATGTGGTCACCCTTTCTGCCATACTCTGAGGAAGAGGGCTCCCCAGCCAGCAGGCCAGAATCCTTTGTACAGAACTTGATCCAGTGTAGTCTGTTAACATTGTATTGTAACTTTGCCTTAATAAGAAGTTTAAAAAACAAAACGAGAACAATGAAATGTTAACTCTGTTGTGGCAAAAGCAATCCATTTTTTTAAAAAAAAATTAACACGTTCCAGTGCTTTATAAATAGCCTGATCAGCACGTTTTCTGGTGGTCTGGAAAATCTTTGACTGGCAGCAGGATGGTAATGTTATGGCCTTAAAGTGTTTGCATTTTTGGCATTAAATAGTTCCATATGTTGAGAGTTGGGCCAGATCCTCAGCAGGTGTAAACTGGAAGTGAATGGAGTTACATCTATTTACAGCAGCCCTGGATCTGGCCCACTATTTTAGGTTCCAAGCTGTCATGGTCGTTCAGTCCAAATCAATCTAGAATTACAAATAAACAATTATAAAAAACAGCATTTAAATTTTTTTTATAATGCCCCAGTTCAGTTCGATATATGCTCTTGGGTGATATCATAAGATAGAAAATATAAATTCTGTATGCCGCACAGTGTAAGACCATGCGTATGGTATTATATAACTGATACCTCATTTTCCTCTCATACACAAATTAGGTTAACTTGACCACATGCATTCCATTGTTGCAGATTTGTATTAAATTAATTTAAAATATGACCGTCCCTCCCCACAGCATTGAAAGAACTACCCTTAGATGACAACGATAAGATGAAGAAAATTAGCCTCTATGTTACAAGCCAAGAAATCCTAACTGTCATGAAATTTTGTTGTATGAAGAGTTTATTAACTTGAAAAGAATTTAGGCATATTTTATGACAACTTTGAAAAGAGTTTCAGAGTGGTAGCTGTGTTAGTCTGTATCAGCAAAAAAAACCGAGGAGTACTTGTGGCACCTTAGAGACTAATAAATTTCTTTGAGCATAAGCTTTTGTGGGCTAAAACCCACTTCCTCAGATGCATGTAGTGGAAAATATAGTAGGAAGATATATATACACAGAGAACATGAAAAAATTGGTCTCGTTACAGTTGGTATGGCAACACCCATCAATTACGGTGGGCTACTATCAGCGGGGGGGGGGACGGACGACTTTTGTAGTGATAATCAGCATGGCCCATTTCAAACAGTTGACAAGAAGGGGTGAGTAACAGTAGGGGGGAAAATTAGCATGGGAAAATTGTTTTTACTTTATGTAATGACCCGTCCACTCCCAGTCTTTAGTCAAGCCTAATGTGATGGTGTCCAGTTTGTAAATTAATTCCAATTCTGCAGTTTCTCATTGGAGTCCGTTTTTGAAGTTTTTTTGTTGGAGAATTGTGACTTTTAGGTCTGAAATTGCGTGACCAGGGAGGTTGAAGGGTTCTCCGACTGGTTTTTGAATTATTTTTGATAATTCTTGATGTCTGATTTGTGTCCATTTATTCTTTTGAGCAGAGATTGTCCGGTTTGGCCAATGTACATGGCAGAGGGGCATTGCTGGCACATGATGGCATATATCACATTGGTAGATGTGCAGGTGAACGAGCCTCTGATAGTTTGGCTGATGTGATTAGGTCCTATGATGATGTCCCTTGAATAGATATGTGGACAGAGTTGGCAACTGGCTTTGTTGCAAGGATTAGTGGGTTCCTGGGTTAGTGTTTTTGTTGTGTGGTTGCTGGTGAGTATTTGTTTCAGGTTGGGGGTCTGTCTGTAATTGAGGACTGGCCTGTCTCCCAAGATCTGTAAGAGTGAAGAATCGTCATTCAGGATAGGTTGTAGATCCTTGATGATGCGTTGGAGAGGTTTTAGTTGGGGGCTGAAGGTGACGGCTAGTGGCGTTCTGTTATTTTCTTTGTTGGGCCTGTCCTGACCCAGGTGACTTCTGGGTGTTCTTCTGGCTCTGTCAATCTGTTTCTTCACTTCAGCAGATGGGTATTGTAGTTGTAAGAACGCTTGATAGAGATCTTGTAGGTGTCTGTCTAAGGGATTGGAGCAAATGCGGCTGGCTGTATCTTAGAGCTTGGCTATAGACAATGGATCGTGTGATTTGTGGTCTGGATGAAAGCTGGAGGCATGCAGGTAGGAATAGCGGTCAGTAGGTTTCCGGTATAGGGTGGTGTTTATGTGGCCATCGCTTATTAGCACTGTCGTGTCCAGGAAGTGGATCTCTTGTGTGGAATGGTCCAGGCTGAGGTTGACACAAATCAGGCATCAAGAATTAGAACATTCCAAAACCAGTCGGAGAACACTTCAACCTCCCTGGTCACTCAATTTCAGACCTAAAAGTTGCAATTCTCCAACAAAAAAACTTCAGAAACAGACTCCAATGAGAAACTGCAGAATTGGAATTAATTTGCAAACTGGACACTATTACATTAGGCTTGAATGAAGACTGGGAGTGGATGTTTTTACTTTGTGTAATGACCCTATTTCCCCATGCTAATTTCCCCCCTACTGTTACTCACCCCTTCTTGTCAACTGTTTGAAATAGGCCATCCTGATTATCACTACAAAAGTCCCCCCCCTCCTGCTGATGATAACCCACCTTAATTGATTGGTCTTGTTACAGTTGGTATGGCAACACCCATTTTTTCATGTTCTATCTATCTAATCTATCTTCCTACTGTATTTTCCACTGCATGCATCTGATGCAATGGATTTTAGCCCACGAAAGCTTATACCCAAATAAATTTGTTAGTCTCTAAGGTGCCACAAGTACTCTTTTTTTTTTTTTTTAAAGAGTGTGGGTGTGTGTACTACTATATATTACACACACAAAATCCACGTCAAGAGAATATTATTAAGATGGCAAAGTCAAGCACTCAGAAGTTAAGAAATGCCAGAATTAAGGTTGCCTCTGCCATGGCCTAGGTAATAGAGATAGCATCAAGCCACAAAATTCAGATCAGAAATTCTTGAAGGCTCTAGAATTTAGGGGTTTGGGGCCCAGAATTTTGGCTTGACCCATTATAAGCCTATGTTTAATCTGTAAAATTTGAGTTTGGATTTCTGACTGCTGTCCAAGTGTGTGGTGTTCATCTGAGGGGTTTTTGATTCAGTTTTATTGCTATTGATCGGTGTTTTGCAGTCTAAAATGCTACTAGTCAGCATGACCCAGTTAAGATAGTATTTTGCAAAGAAACAAGAATGAAAGATTCTCTGCTGCTTTGTATATCATTGACACTATCCCATTGAACAAACAGGGGTTCTGAGAAACAACCCTTTTCTAAATTTTCCAAACAGACCTCACTGGCTCTTCACATTTGTAAATCTTTTAAGGAAACGATATTGCCAATATCCAGCTGGTCTGATAAGGAGACTCATCCAGACTATGGTATGCGGTACCCACCCCACTTTGGCACGCTCCAGAAAATCAGCTGTGTGATATCTCAAGAGAACATAAACTCTCTGCTATACTGCATGACAAATGAGAATTTCAAAAACTAACAGCTCAGCTTGCATCAGGAATATTTGTTCCACTGAGTCCTAAAAGATTCTCTACTCATTCCCCACAATAGCTCTATGCACATGCTCCACATTATTGGGGGATTTATGTTTAAGGGCCCTTCCAATTAAAGATCAGCTGAGCTCATACTATTCATGTTTTTGTCTAATCCACAAATAGTGTGGTCTTTCTGCTAATGGCAAATGTTTAATTTGCACCTGTCCATACTTCCCTCCTTCAAATCCCTCTCTGCTGCTGAAGAAGGCCATTTTATATGACTCTTTTGTAAGACAATTTGATTGCAATGTGAAGGCTCCGCTCTGATCCACATATAGATCTCTTAGCTACAAGGTGAATGTCTGCACTTCTTCCATGCCTGGACTTCCTTTGGAGTTCATGGAATGAAAATTACATTATGGGCCACATTCTGAAAACAGGTGTGATTCTGCCCAAATGGGTGCCAAACATGCCCAGGTGTGCTGCCAAAAAAGTCCAAATTCCAGCTGCGAATAGCCTGCAGAAATACATCCATCCAAAAGACTAGAGTCTGTCTTGCTATCTAAACCTGTAAAGGCCAAGCCCCCTATTCTCTTACAAACTCCACCACAGGTTCAGCAGGGACCATTAGATCATCTAATCTGACCTTCTGCATAACATGTTCCCTGGTGCAATCTCTTCCCCTAAGGGTAGGAGTCAAATACTCAGGAGTCTGTGTGCAGAGGCCATAGGGTGATGAGTATTGCTGCATAAGAATGTGTACCATCCCTCATTTACCCTTACATGATTCTTGCTATAGGCCCTGTGGAGTCAGATCTCTGCATGTTTTCAGGGTAGTCAGCTATGCAGCTAGTCAGGGTAGCCTTCTGCCATGGACCCTGGCAACAGCCTGAGCTTGTGTGCTTTTGTTCTTGCAAGTGTGTGTGTAATTTAGAGACATGTGGGTAAGGTAATATCTTTTTATTGCACCAACTTCTGTTGGTAAGAGAGACATGGTTTCGAGCTTACACAGAGCTCTTCTTCAGGTCTGGAAAAGGTACTAAGAATGTCACAGTAAATCTGTTTTGAAAGGAGAACTTTGTCCCAAGTGTTCAGCATACTTTTATGAATAAAGACTGGATGGACAGGGGATTAGGAAAAGCCACTATAACAACTGGTTTCCCTTTTGTAGCCTCAGCAGAGAGGCAAAAGATAGAAGGGGTGACAGATACTAAACTACTTTCAATTCCCCACAGAAAAGAGTGACAGATATTTATCTTTTCTTTTTTTTTTTTTTTTGTAAGAACAAATATAAATCTCGTTTGTTCACAACACATGTGATTGCCCTGAATTTAACCCAGTTTCATAGATTCCAGGGCCAGAAGGGACCATTGTGCTCATCTAGTCTGACCTTCTGTATAAGATTGGCCATAGAACTTTTGAAAACAAATCATTCCTTTTGAACTAAGCATCTTTTTATTTTATTAATCTTGATTTAAAAATTGGGTGTGATAGAGAATCCACCATGAACCTGGTAAATTGTTCCAACAGTTAATTACCCTCACTGTTAAAAATGTATGCATTATATCCAGTCTGAATTTGTCTAGCTTTAGCTTCCAGTCAATGGATCCTGTTATACCTTTCTCTGCTCGACTGAAGAGCCCATTATTAAATATTTGTTCCCCATGTAGGTGTTTGTAGACTGTGATCAAGTCACCTTTTAACCTTCTCTCCTTGAGCCTATCACTATAAGGCAGGTTTTCTAGTCCTTCAGTCATTCTCATGGCTCTTCTCTGAACCCTCTCCTATTTATCCACATCCTTCTTGAATAGTGGACACCAGAACTGGACACAATGTTCTAGCAGCAGCTGCACCAGTGCCAAAAACAGATGTAAAATAACCTCTCTGCCTGTTAAGATTTTCCTGTTTATGCATCCAAGGATCTCACTTGCCATTTTGGCCATGATGTTGCATCGGAAGCTCATGTTCAGCTAACTGTCCACGATGACCTTCAAATCTTTTTCAGAGTCACTCCTTCCAGGATAGAGTCCACCACCTTGTAAGAATGACCTACGTTCTTTGTTCCTAGATTTACATTTACCTGTATTAAAACACAAATTGTTTGCTTGTGCCCAGTTTACCAAGTAATCAAGATTGCTCTGTAACTGTGTCCTGTTCTCTTCATTATTTCCCACTCACACAATGTTTGTGTCCATCCGTCAGTGATATTTTGTTTTCTTCCAGGTCACTGATGAAAATGTTAAAAAACATAGGGCCAAGAACCGATTCCTTCCTATGGGACCCCATTAGAAACGCTGTGATGAATCCCCATTTACAACTACATTTTGGGACCTAGCAATTAGCCAGATTTTAATCCATTCCATGTGTGCGCCATGTTAATTTTGTATCATTCTAGACTTTTAATCATGCAGTACCTAGTCATATGACTTACAGAACTCCAGGTATATTATATCAATGCTAATTTCCATAGTTTTAGCCAAAGTCTCGTGAGAATAGCTCACAATATCTTGAATGAAATAAGCTGTTATTTTTTTCTACAAGTAGCTCTGCTACTCAGTCAGACTGGCTCCTGTTGCAGTCATATGGTGTTTTCCAGCAGGGGATGAGGAATCACACACAGCAGACAGATGCAGAGACATAACCAAGCTTAGAATTACATGGGTGAGAATGATTCAATGATGTATCTATTCCTCCTCAACCCTTCCTCTCTCCCCAGCTGTTCTCATATTCCAAATGGCAGACCTCATGCCATAGAATGTGGAAAACATATGGAAGCCCTTCCACAGACACAGGATATATAATTAGGTACCTAAATCCATATTAAGGCACCTAATAAATGGTGTGACTTTTCACAATGCTTCAATAGCATTTCAGTGGGAGTTTGCCCAGCACTTCTGAAAACCCTCTATTTCGGTACATAAATCTGGATTTGAGTGCCTCGGTCTTAAGTCTCTTGAGTCTGAAGATTTGGGGCTTATTTTTAATGGACCTCTGAAAATGTTGTCACAAAACATGTATGCAACATAGTAACCTGGTCTAGGAGGAAGCAATGTAGACAGGGCATGGGATTGGGAGTTAGGAGGCATGCAGTCGATTCCCAGATCTGCCACTGACTCACTATCTGAATTTGGACAAATTGTTTTATAACTCTGAATTTATATTTCCCTATGTAATATAAGTGCTCTAAGATATATAGATAAGTGCTGTTTAAGTACAAAGTATGATTTTTATTATATTTATCCATTTGCACATATAAAAACCTCACGTTGTTCCTGCTAACAGATGTCCTTGCCAAATTTTACATTTCAAAATGTATACATTTATTAATTTTTAAATTATTTGGATAGCATTTTTAATCCCAGGTAGTTTTTCACATGCTCTTTGAAAATTTTGCCTGAAATGTATTAAACATAAACCTCCACAAAAGGTAGTTGGACTAAATCTGATCAAATCCTTCTTGTTTCTTTCCACTTAATTGATAACACCTACAAGTTTAGCCAGGTTTGTCAATTGGATATAAAATCTTCTGTCATTATGTCTGTTATTACATGAGAAAGTAAGTGAGGCTTTCAACCTTAATTTCCCAGTCTATCTCCTACAGAACTGTAGTGTTCCCTCTCTTGTTAATATAATTAGTCTCAGACATGTTAAGTTATGAAACTAAAAATACAGTGAACAAATTATAATGTGTCTTACATTTCAGACATGTAAGAAATAATTTCCATAAAAGTCAAATCCTTATGTCTCTTGTTTTTCTGTTAATATTATTTATTCCTCATTATTTATAACTTTACCATCCATGAGTTAACATTCTTGGGACTTAATCTTGTATTTCTTCAGCACTCAAAACTCTTACTGGATCAGGCACTTGGCTGACAGTGAAATTTTTAGTTAGTAAAAAGAAATTCTTCTTAGTAAAATATAAATGTTTAAACACACAAAATCCCATTTTAAAGGTCAGGGTCACAAAGATGACAGGTGGGGAATTTAATGGATTTATATGTTGTTCTGCCCTCCCAATGTCTTCTGAAGTTCAGAGAGATTCCAAACTTTAAATGATTAACTGGCATTTTCCAGACTACCAGCCAAATGAATGCTTAGCAGAATGTGAAGATATGCCCGCAGTCCTCAAAAGATTAATGAGTCAGATCTGCATTCAAGAGAGAAAGGTTGGGCCAGATAGTGCTGTCTTTGTACAATCAAAACTCCCACTGAAGTCAAGGAAGCACCAACAAAAAAACATGTAAGGTAAGTAACTTCTGCTTTCAGTCAGTACCCTGAATTCAAGCAAATGGGCCAGATCCTCAGTTGGGGTAATTGGTGTAACCCTATTGGGACAATGGAATTTTTGCCCGTGAAAGAACTGTTAGATCAGACCATTGTCTAAGTTGATGGGTTTCCAAATCATACTGGGCTAAGTCGTCTTTGCTCAGTAGGAAAAGGTCCCTCATTCTGGTTTTGGAACTTAATATTGTAATGCTCCTTCCCTTTCTTATGTCTGACGGCTGTATTATTTATTTAGGCTCCCTGTAATAAGGACACCATTGTGCCTGAGTGTTGTGAGAGAAAACAGAGAGCTGGCTCTGCCCTTGCTGTGTAACTATATCAACATACCAACAGAAGCCCTCTTTATTTATTTATTTTTTTTAGTATACCAAGAAAGGAATGCATACCTGATGACAAAAGCAGGCCTTAGCTGTTGTTGTGTCTCTTCAGCTGGGTCCTTGTCTCCTGGGAACTAAAACATCCCTCTCTTGTTTTACTTGTTTCACTCTTTTCCCTGGAAGAGAAACTAATGGATTGCAGTTTGCTAGGGACTGTGTTTTATTAGAGTTTTGCAATACTGTTTCTTATCAGTACTTAGCTACAGACATGTTTCCTGATTGACTCTCTGAAATGGGAATTATTATTACATTTAAGTCCCAGACATATAATACTGTTATCTGTAGAAGAAAAAGGTGGGATGGTGAGGGGAAGGCAACAGACTTTTAGGCAATAACAGCTTCTTATAGCTGGCTGGCCGTTCTGTCTCTGCTTCTTACCTAATAATGGCCTGACCCTAGAGGTCCATGGGAGCAGAACCTAGCCCTAAACTGCATTTCAAGTTGGTGATCTCATCCAATTGCCAATGGCTCAGTGGTCACATCACAACACCTACAACTGCCATTACTTTGGTATCCCTGCTGCCATGGTTTGGATGCCACAGAGACCTCTCTCAGTGGTTCCACTGGTTCAGGACTGAGGCTATGAGCAGAAATTTGCTTATCCATGTTGCACCTTCACCTAGGCTAGTTTTAAATGACGCAAGTGATGGGGTTTTCTCTACTCCGTTTGGAAGACTACTGAGATTCTGTGTGGTTACATTAGGTAGGACAGTCTGTTTAGTTAGTGTAAGAGATTGAGAACCACATAGTCTGTCTGTGTTCATTTGTGTACAGTTGTGTATGCATATGTGACAATAAACACAACTCCCTCTGAAAGTCTTGGCCCTATAAGTACAGAAACAGTATAAATAAAACAAATCACAGAGGAACATGTATCTGTTTTTTCCTTTTGTTGGAGGACCAGAGCCAACACCATCGGTCTGAGCCCCTGAAGTGCACACTAGCAGATAGCTGCCACAAAAGAAGCAGCTTGGTTGAATGGTGCTGCCTCACACAGGGCGACACAGAGCTGCAAAATCATTGCTCTTACACAGTCCTATCCTGTAAAACGTTGAGTGTCTCCTGTGATGCAGTAGGAGATGTCAGGTCCCATTGGCTTCAAAATGAGTTGACAGTCTCAGCACCTCACATGAAGCTCTTAGCACTCTGCAGGTTGAGGCCCGTAATGCTATCATCCTGAGGAGGCCAAAGGTAAAAATGAAATTTCCTAAAAATTACAACAAATAATTATAGCAAATCACAAATTATATAATTTCAAAGCTACCTGCCTCCTCTGGGAACTTCAGTCTGATTTCCTGTCCACATTTAGCTACAGCTGCAACTCCTTCATTCAGACCGTGTTCTATCTTTATGCCCTTAGTCACCATATCAGGTGGATGATGAAGGCTAAACTCATCCTTTCTCCCTTCAGGTAGTGCTGCATGAATGAAAACTATCCATATAGCAAATAAATCACATCTGTTTGCAATAGGGCACTTTCCTCCAACAAATTATGATGATCTGGATTCACAATATGTATCAAATGAAATGTAATGCCTGATATTTCATATATGATGTGTTCCCTCAAGGGGGAATTTGTCACATTCTAGGCTTAAATTTTTCCTTTGCCCAGTGTCATGGCACTAATTTTAATGCTTAAACAATTTGATCTCTTTAATAGGATTTAAGCCCTTCAAACATTTGTACTTAGTTATATTTTCCTTTAGCCATCATTTAGGCTAATTTATTCTTTTGATCATATATAATAAACCAATCCCTCCCAATCCATTAATATTCTTATTGATCTCTGTGAAGTTCCTCTAATTTATTGGCATCTTTCTTGTAACATAGCATCCAGAATTGCACATGATATTCTAGCAGTCTCATTGTGGGTAAGTATTAGCTTTATTGGCTACCATATAGGAAAGTTAAGGGACCCTACACTTTCTCAGCTGCAACAACTTCAAGGTTAGATGATCTGAAATGTAATTTGTTAAATGTCCTTGATCTTTTGGTCACCTGATGAATCAAGTGGCTTCTGTTTTACCAAATCACTTCAAACTCCATAATATGTACTATCCCAAACCTTGTGCTTCTACCCATAATCTTCAAATGTGAGTAGTTACTCCACTGCCTATAGACCAGTAGTTAAGGCAGCCTAAAGTTGTAAATTTTCTAATATTTCTTTCATCTTTTTGTCTTCTGTAACAATGAAGGCAGGACTCTGGGGCTAATATTAAAGTATAAAACATTGTCCTGCAGTTTTCGGAATGAGCAGCCCCTCCAGCTGAAGCTAATAAAGAATGAATAAGTTTTAGGTTTTTGCTTTCAATAGAACACAAGTTGTATGTCCTTAAAAAGGAACATGTGGGAAACTTGTGTGATGTTTGTTTTTATTTTCTAATGGGACTTTGAAACATGACTTGATTGTTCAGACTTAAAGATTCATGAACCACGTCAGTACCAGACAAGTATTTAAAACAACACAAGGATTTGGTGTTCATGTTCTGGTTGATAAACCCAATTCAGTTTTTAAAATGGTGTTGTCTTGGAAAACCAAATTTAAACACAGTTGAACATGAACTGAGGTAAAGGGACTTCATAAAATCTGCAGACTTCATAAAATCATTGTCACAGTCTATTCTATTCTATATGCTCATTACCAGGGTATCTGAGCGCCTTCCAGTATGCATTTAGTGATGTGTCTGAGGGGAGGTCTGCACGGGAGCTGGAAGGTGTAAATTCCAGTTCAAGAAGAGATACCCGCATTAGCTCTGATCAAGCTAAAAATAGAAGTAGCTACTGTGGCATGAACAGTGTCATGGTCTAGTCACCCCAGTACGGGTCTCGACCAGGATTGTACTTAGGGTTGCTAGCCCCTCCCAGCACTCATACTGCTGCCTATATACTTCTGTTTCAATCAGACCTAGTGCAGTTATATCTCCTCAAGCACTTTCCAGCCCTTGTATAGACACATCCTGATATCTGTCTCTTGTGGCTTATTTTCTCATCTTCTACCCAGAGAAAGAATTGTGTATGCAGTGGAGTGTTTTGGTTTACAAAGTTGTTTTTTTTAATGTCACTTTGCTATGTGATTATGTTAGAGAAGGCAGGGTGAACAAATGCACCTGGCACTTGGAGCGTAAGGTGGAGAGGTTTATGATGGTCCTTCATTCCTGGGGTAGTTCATTCCACAGTCTGACCAACCCCAGGGAAGTTCTGTCTCTCACACAGATGACCTTCCTCTTACTGGCAAGAGTTTCATTGTGCCAGCCAGAGGAGCAGAGTCGGCAACCCTGCCTTCATCCCAGAGTACTAGGTGGTCTTATAGGTCAAAACTCTTCTATTCACTTTCAGTGCATTTGCAAACCCACACTCCTATTCTCAGTTACACATATGTGCCTGGGTAATACTCACCAGGGAGGAGGAAAAGAAGGCAGCACTGTCTCTTGGAAGTCTAGAGACTTGGATTCTGTTCCCAGCTCTGAGCAAGTCACTTCCCCTCTCTGTACCTCTCTTCCTCTTCTCACCCTTTGTTTCATCCATTTAGACTTCAAAGTGTCCAAGGGCAGGGTGTGTCTCTATGGCTACATCTACACTGGGAGGTGTAATTCTCAGCTTTCGTACCTTCTCGCACTAGCTCTCATTGAGCTAGAGCGCTAAGAATATTCGTGTAGCCGGGGCAGTGACAAGTGGTGACATGGGCTAGCAATGCTTCAGTACAAACCTGCCTGAGCCCAGTGGATAAGTACTCGGGGCAGCTAGTCCACGCCACCGCTAGCTGCTGCCAGTGCTACCCCAGCTACTACTATTGTTTTTAGCACACAAGCTCGATGAGAGCTAGTGTGAGTACAGACATACCCTATATGGTTGTGCAGTGGCTAGCAAATCGGGCCCCTATCTCAAGGGGGGGCATTTAGTCACCATTGTAATAATATAATTCTCGTTGTTGTTGTTGTGGTCATCATTACAGTCAAATCGGGTGAGTAGACTTTGTGTCTGTTAGTCTATTTTAATGGGGACAAACTCTCCTTGCAGCTTTGCCTGAGTGAAGAATGATTTAAAACCCTAGTGAGAGCCTTTGGGATTTGGCTCATGATGCATTTGCAAGGCTTGTTAAAATAATGGGCATTTAATATTGCCATACATCTACAAAGTCCTGTACAAACATTAACTAATTCGTAGAAAATACTGAATAACTACAACATTCTCCTGCTCTAATGCAGTGATCGGGGATTAACTCGAGTAGGAAGGATTCCAATGAGAAAAGAATAAATATGTCTGTGAGATCAGTATTTCAATTTTCCGCCCTACTAACTAGGTTGATTCACTAGTCAGTGTAACCATATCTGTGATGTCTGTCATTAGGAGACGTTTTCCAGCAGTTTTATTCTGTGGCTGTCAGGCTGCTGTTATCTGGATGATCTTGGGGAAAAATATGAATTTTTTTTTTAACTCTGCATTTGTGTATCTGCTGACCTAGTTTTCGAAGCCAACACTCTCAGCAGCCATCTGTAGCCCTGCTGGTGCCAAGTAACAAAAATAACATTCTAAGGAAATATCCCCAATGGGTGATTTAAGGTTTTTACAAGTAGCGGTTGGTAT